AATAATAGCTTCAGTGATGTTGCTCATCTTTCTTGGCGCTCTTCGATTTTTACATGATCCTTTTGTTCTGTCAAAAAGTGTAGATTTTGCCACACTTAGCAGCTTGTACGTACGACTTTTTTTTTTCAGTAATAGCTTGAATAGCTAGCTGGATTCGACTCTCTCGCTCTTCTTTTTGTTTAAAATTATCCATATTCTTTAATACAGTAATACAATTAACACAAATGCGTTAACTTTATGGATGCTAAAAAAAATAGCTGTATCTGGATGAGTGTCAATTATTTTTTCCCTTGTGGCTATTTTATTTTTTATTACTTTAATGAACATAATATATTATATTATGTGCATGAAAGTGATAAAAAATAAAATAGCTAATTGTAATTAACTGTATCCGGGACTCAAAAGTGTATTTGTTTATTGCTGCTGGCTAATTTGTTTATTTTTTTTTTAGGTACATAAAATAATAATTACCTCTATCTGGAATTAGGCGTCTTTTTCTTTTGGCTGGTAGCAAATTTGTTTTTTGTTTTTTTCAATTATTTCAAAAGGTAATTTAATTTTTTTTGGCTAAAATAATCAGCATAAAATTCTGCACAAAATAGTGTTTTTACTTTTTTAATTTTTTTGTTGCAAGTCAAATTTTTTTTTTCCTTTTTTTTTTTTTTTAGTTATGAAAGATTTCAAATCGAAATCTTTCATGATTGCATAGTTCATATAATTTTTTTTTTTATATTTTTCGATTTGTCTGGTAAAGACGTTTATTATGAAAAAAATTATTCATAAATTCATTATATTAAGGGAGTTATAAAACTTTTTACTAAAACCATCCGGAATTATGTTACATCCGGAATTAGGGGTTTTTACGGTAAGTATTAAGCAAATAATTATAAAAAAGGACAAAAGTTCAGTTAGAAATCTCATAATTTAGTGGTAAGAATGGTCAAGACTGATTTCCGTATGTTATTAACAATAAGGGTTTTTCTTGTATAACTTCGCATCTGAACCCCAAAAAAACATAACTAGTTACTTTATGGAACATATACAGCCATAAATACCTCAGTTAAAAAGAAGTTATAATTTTATTGGATATAGCGTTAGTTAAACAATGACCACAAATGTTGGAGAGGTGACAAGTAAATAGGGACCATAGGGTTAAGAGGAGGGAATTCAATTCACTAATCATTCACATTTTGTATGCCGCATAAAGTGTACTATTATAGCGGAGATATTCACTTTATGTTTTATATCTAGTTTTTGTTTATACTGCTTTATTGAAACTATTCACTCGTTAGTTTATTAATAAATTATAATTAGTTTATATTATAAATGTTTATACTATTGTAGTTAAACTATCTTAGTTTATATTAAATCATAATGTATACCCTTTAGGGGAGGTATTTGTTTATATTTAATCTATATCAATATTTTATAATAATTTATATCTTATAAATGGAGCTATTCTTTTATACTAAGTATATATATATAGTTTTATACTTAGTATATATAAGTGAAAATAATCTATGTCGTTTTAGTGGAGTTATTTGTTTTCTAAAAATGTAAAATTTGTTTTCTAAAAAAAAAAAACCATTTTAGTAGAACTTTTTGTTTTATACTCTAGTTTATATTTAATTAACCTTTAATTTTTAAGTTTAAATTATTTTAACTTATATTAATATTTGCTTTAACCCTTGAAATGGAAATATTTGTTTTATACTTTTTTGTTTTATCGCTTTCAACTTGTTTATAATTAGGGAAATGTTTGTTTTATACCTAGTTTTAACTATAATTATTTATTAATTTAATTATAATCATTTTAAGCAATGTTCTTTGACCGGAAATATTCGTTTTATATTAAGTAATATTTAATTATAACTTGACAGCGCATTATGGAGTGGTTAACATTAAAAATGTATTCCATAGCAGAGGTATAATTCGTTTTTTACATAGTTTTTATGTAATTATATTAAATACTCTTAATCTATAAATATTTTTTTATACTAAGTTAATTTTAATCAAAATTTATACCGTTAAAGTAGGGTTATTTGTTTAATATATAGTTCACATTTAATTCAAACTTATATACCGTTTTAAATCTAGTTTATGTACAGTTATAACTATACCGCTTTCTTTATTTTTCCTTGTTTATACAAATTAACTATTGACATCGTTTCAGTGAAATTATTCATTTTAAAACTGTATAGTCTCTAAGTGGAGTTCTTTGTATTATACTTAGTTTTATATATATCATATATAACTCATATTTTAAAATACTTTTATAAACATTAGAAAACAAAGTAAAAATTAGTATATCAACTGTTGCAGCTGTTGTCATTTTAGGCAGATAGACTGCAAGAAATCAAAACTTGGAGCAGTCGCTAAATGAGAAGGATAAAGTGATTATTGGTCTAAAAAAGACTGAACTGAAAATAAACTTTAAAAAGTGCAACTATCTAGTGGTAGCTATAGTAACAGCAAAAACTGATCAAATATTACAATATCAATGAATTCCATTGTAAAAAAAGAAAATGAAAGAAGAGAGATAAAAATATAACTTTTTAATTAATCTTTGCTACATAGCATCAAATGACAAAATAAAATGTTTTTTGATCATCATCATGATCATCATCAGTTGTTATAAAGCAGTCAACATCAAATGACAACATATTTTTATCATGAATTGGTAAACATTATTTTTAAAACTAGTGTAGATATAAATGTAATAACAAAATTTATTGTTTGAAATCCAAAACAAAAGAACCAAATAAAATTGGCATTGAAATTGAGGTTGGCAATAAAAATAAAAAAATTATTGTATTAAAAGCCTCCTATAACCACCAAAAACAGGTATTTTCGTAAATCCAGACTTCACAAACAACTAAGAGAACTGTGCAAAGTACTAAATCAAGAACTAGCCTTCCCATATACATTTTATTATGGCATAACAAATAACACTGTTGTTATAGTGACAAAATAGCAATTACACCACAATGTTAAAGCACTAATAGAGATAAAAGATGAAAGCTTGCTTTCTTAAAATTTTATTGACAAGAGAGTTGTAGATATGGATAAAAAAAGCTAACAAATGGCACAATCTGATGTCTGATGTTTTCAGTTGTATTAAGTTGATGGTTTTAGCAATAATATTATGAATAATTAGATTGCGTATCAACTATTAATCAAAAATACTAACGTAAATAAAGAATACAAAATAAAAATTTCATATTAGTTCACCAACACAACATCATTAAACAAAAACCTAGAAGACTTGCTGGCACATAAATTCAGTAATACTAAATCAAACTCAAATATAATTTTTGCTTGAACCAAATTTCCAGATAAGTGATGCAAACTTAACTTTATACTCAATTTGATATTAGCAGAATGCTCTAGGCATTTCGCTATTTCAAATTGAGTATAAAAGTTAAGTTTATCAAATTGAAAGCTTTAGTATATAGATTGATTCATATTTAAAAAAATAATTCAATCAAGAGTTAAATAAGACCAAAAATTTTACTATTGAAAATGTATAAAAACTATGGAAACTATGAAAAACGAACGAAAACTCAGGATGGAAAAATCAAAATTTGAAGCAACCAAACAATACTTCTTGTTGAAAAAGCGTGCAAAAAAAAAAGTTAAGACAACTAAGTTAGAATTTAAATGACAGCTAATACTAAAGCCTAAAGATAATCCAAAAATGTTATATAAATATATCAAAACAAAGTGTTTAAGACTACATAAGAAGAATTTATTTTAATGAAGGTAAACTTTTGATTGAAGGTCCCAATATTGCAAACCACCTTAATGAATATTAATAAAAACTTTCCGACTTATACAAACGTTAATTTTAATAATATAGAGATCAGTGAGGCAGAAATACTGGAAAAATTAATGCCACTTAACCCATTCAAAAGTGTAGCAGTGGGTAGTGTAAACAGAATGATTTTAAAAAATGTTCTGCAGTCTTAACAAAGCCATTATGTATTATCTTAAAAAAAACATTATGCAGTGGTGAGTTACCAAATATATAGAAACAAGCAAATGTTAATTACTATTGCATCGAGTTACTTGGGTATAAAGACCAGAGTTGAAATATGTTGTAGTAGTGTGGTCTCCATTCCTTGTTAGATTTATTAAAAAAATAGAAAATGTACAATGACGAGTAGCAAGATTATCACCATTATTACATCAGCTATAAAATATAGTATAAAATATATATAAGTATATCAAGTTATAAACTTGATATACTTGGAATTACAAATTTAAAGACACAACATAAAAGCGGTGACGCAATTTACCCCTATTGTTGCTATAATATTGTATAAAATTTAATAAACACATTGAAATAAAGCAACTTTGATAAACAATTAGCATTAATTAATAGTAGAACATTAACAACAAGTGGTCACAATTATAAATTGAAACCAGATCTGGTAGAAGACTGCACACCAAGGTGCAATTTCATTACAAATCAGTTTGCAACTATTTGGAACAAGTTAAGCTCTGTTACAATCAATGAATAGAATTTAGTTTATTTCAAATGTTAATAGACAACAAAAAAAAAATGGCATTAGAATATAACTATTAAGAAATATTTTATATACATACATACATACATACATACATACATACATACATAAATACATGTACGCATGCATGCATTCATACATTCATACATTCATACATTCATACATACATACATACATACATACATACAAACATAAATATGTGTATGCATGCATGCATTCATGCATTCATACATTCATACATACATACATACATACATACATACATATATACATACATACATACATACATACATACATACATACATACATACATGTATGCATGCATGCATTCATGCATTCATACATTCATACATACATAAATACATACATACATACATACATACATACATACATACATACATACATACATACATACATACATACATACATACATACATACATATACTTCAAATAAAACAAACACATTCTTACTTGACTTTTTTCTCTAAACTTTGAGTTTTCGAGTTGGTCATTGTATTGTGATAAAATATAATAAGCAACTTTGCGAATTGACTCATCGTGTGAGGAAAGTGAAGCAATCACAAGAGATAAACAACCACTTTCAATAAACTGACGACAATCAACAAAATAACCTGAAAATGCCAAATAAAAACTAATTCATACACATGTTTATTTACATGCAGATATATACATTTATATGTATGTGTGTTTATATATATACAACACATAGTATGTGTGTGTATATATATACACACACAATATAAATATATATATATAGTTAAATATCAGAGCTAGGCAAGGCAACCAAATATTATATTAAACAATATATATATATATATATATATATATATATATATATATATATATATATATATATATATATATATATATATATATTAATGCGTATATATATATATATATATTCAGATTGTTACTAAGTTAATTTTAGACAAAATTTATACCGTTAAAGTAGGGTTATTTGTTTAATATATAGTTCACCTTTAATTCAAACTTATATACCTTTTTAAATCTAGTTTATGTACAGTTATAACTTATACTGCTTTCTTTGTTTTTCCTTGTTTATACAAATTAACTATTAATATCGTTTTAGTGGAGTTATTCATTTTACAACTGTATAGTCTTTAAGTGGAGTTCTTAGACCTTGTAAAAAAGAGAGAGGGCTTTATTAGAAAAATCAGCCTAAATATGACAATAGTATTCCATACAAGGTTGAATAAGAGATTTAGAGAGTAGAGGATGAAATCAAGACCTTAGCAGATGCTAACTTTAAAATGGATTTGTATATGGTTTCTAAGAAAAATCAGTAGTAATAGAAAAGGTCAGCAGTGATAGTCCAAGTTGTTAGACACAAGATAACTTAAACAAGACAAGATAGTATAACTTAAACAAGATAAACTAGAAGTTTGTTAAAGTTTAAAAAGACTTTGCAAATGATAAATAATAGTTAAAGTTACATCTTCAAACCACAAAAAATGTTTGATATTAACTAATTTACAAGTTAAAGTTACATCTTCAAACCACAAAAAATGTTTGGCTCTTGTATAGTATCATATTTAAAACTTAAAATTGTATGAACACAATCTATGTTAACAGATAGGATACTCTATAAACAACCAAAATAAACAAGTTTTTACTTTTGTTGAGCTTTTGAAGCTGAAGACTTTGATTATTTAACCTATTAATATAACGATTTCGCTAAATTTATAAAAAGAAAATACATCTATTTATTATTCATTACAAAAACCAATTATTTTTTACGTATTATTACAAAAAGTTTTGAGAAAACAAATAAAATATGAAGATCTACTTTAGTTAGAACTATTATATACTTGGGTATACTTGATGTTCTGGGTATTCTAGAATAGTAAGTACTAAATAAATTAAAGTGTCTGAACCCAGATTCTTCGGTTTTGGTACAGAAAATAGTGTATTACGAGAAGGTACTTTATCATCTTTTCAGATTTATATAAGTAAGGGTTTTTATAATTTTGAATCTGCTTATTACAAGAAATCGCTAGAACTGTTGCTTATGTTAACAATGTGGTCTACTTTTCAGAAACTAATGTAAGAAAAAAACAATTATGTTGGGCATTTCCATTTCTGTGCGTGATTTTTTATTTTTCTTTGTTTTAGCAATTAAAAGCTGGGACTTTATGCAATATGCATACTATTTTGATTTTCTTAAAGAACAATTTTAACAAAAATATTTTTATCATATTTTAGACTGAATAAATTAAATATACACATTTTTACAATTTTATTTTTTAGAGTAATAATATCGCTAGATTTAAAAAAATATACAATAACTTTCAAAACGCAATACTCTAGCTAGAAATAATTGATGACTGCCATTTCTCATCAAAAATATATTAAATAAGAGTCGCAGAAGTATAATATTTCACTTAAAATACTCACAAGCAATTTATTTTCATAAAAATAATTACATGAAATTGACAAATTCGCAACATCTGTGCGTGACTTCCGTGCGTGATCATTCATAAACTGCATTTAAACGATTGCTGTAACTCTATGATTCATAGTGCAATCCTGTAACTTTCTGGAAATCTTTACTTTAAAATATTATTTAAAAAAAAAGTATACCGGTGAAACTTATATTTTCCAAGGAATTAAAGTTTATTTATCTAGTAACTAAAATAGAAGTTTTTCTGTTCCGTGCGTGATTCCATTTCAAACTTTATTTATTCTTTGTTAACATTACTAATGCTTACTATTTTTTGTTTACAAAATATTTATATTGATTAGAATTAAATGAGAGTAAATTGGAGATTGCTAGTTTCATTTTTATGAAAATAAAAGTAAAAACATATACGAATTTCAACGTGTGATTTTTTAGAAATGGCCTGTTTATATTATATAGTAAATTTTTTTTTTTAATGATTTGTTTTTTTAGACCATTAAGACAGTTTGAATAGTACTTATTCCAAACAAAAATTGTACTATTTTCATTCCCCAACAGTTTGCCAATTGGATTTGTTGAATTTTTTGGCAATATAATAAAAAGTGACACATAAGAAAATTTGATTTATAGTTTGAGAGAAGTGTATTTTGTTCATGAATGAGGAAAAAAAAAAAAAAGAAGCTGTATAATTTTTAATTTACTGGTTTTTCAAGACTCAAAATTTTAAATTAATTATATTTCAATACTGTTGTTTTTTTTTTTGCAGAATATCTGTCAATATTGTGCAAGTAAATTATCAATTGAAAAATGATTACAAATCATTATCATCTGCTCATATTAACACTTTGAATGGCCGTCACAAAGCTCTCATTTAAATCTTACCAAAATTTGTGGGAGGAACTCTTCATAAAGATACAGAAAATCAAGCCTAAAAATCCGGATGACTTGTGTCAATATTTGCAGTTTAGAACATGATTCCTGATACCATAATTCTGAACCTGGGATAATCAATGCCAAAGCAAGTCATGGATGTTCTCAAAGAATATGGAGGACATACGAAATATTCATGATTTATGCAATTTATATTTACTTCTGTAATGATGCTGAAAATTTTACAATATCTATTCATTTATTGCAAAATGGTGCTTTAATTTGTAAATATATATTTTACGAATATGTATTGTGCTAAAACTCAAGCTTGCATTTTTTGAGTAGAAATATATTATAATAATTGCAGTTGTAAATACAATATATTACAAGAATAATATATTATACCAATAGAGGGTTAACCTTACCAAGCATGAAAAAACATGTCAGCAAAGGTAAACTTACCAGGCTTGAAAAAGCATGCCAGCAAAGTTAATAAAAATCTTGGATCATACAATTCTGATGCTTTGAAATATTCATCCTAAAATCACACACTTTTTTACAAAACTTTTTAAAATTTCTAAACTGTTAAAGAAAATAAAACACTAAAAAAAAAAAGCAATTAAGCGAATAAAAACACACTGTTAATTTTAAATGTATTGGAAATTTCCAAGCTGTTTGAATTAATTGCTTGCTATCTATTTGATTAAGAAAGCTTGAAAACACTCTTTCATGCATTAGGTGCTTTGGTTTATCTATTCTGTATGCATCAAGTGCCCCAGAACCCCAAGACAAAGGCTGAAACTGCTCAAAGGAAACACCGCTTTCTTCAAACAGCATAAGTAAAGATAAAAGATATTGATCTGAACAAAAATAAAAAGATTTTGTTAAGAGCAAACTTTAAATGAAGCTCATAAAAATAATATATTATTAAAATAAATACCACAATTACTAAGACTTGCACCATATGAAGCCAATAGAATAGGTACAAATGAATGACTACATAAATCAGGAGATAACTTTACCAAAGCCAAAAGCAATTTTACTAAAGATTCTAAAAAAGAAAAATTTCACACATTATAACTAAACTACTAGTTAAAAAAAAAATTCAAAAAAACCATGACAACATGACATGACAACATGACATGACAAGATGACATTAGTCTATTTAACTACCTATTTTACATCTTGAATTTTAAATATTTATTTTAAATATTGGGTTGACTAAAAAATATTGATAACTAAAAGAAAAAAAAGATTAACATTCATTTTTAATTTCATAACTTTAACAATAAATAACAATAACAATAAATATACCATTATTGTCTTCAATAACTTGCCAACTTATAGGCTATGAATGATGTTGGTGTAAAACTATTTAGGCTTTGAATCAAAGAGATGATTGGGGTGCTGTTAGAGTGCCTCTTTGCTGGTAAATCTTTTATTGCACAAGCTGTTGCTTAGTGATCAGAAGAAATAATAATCTGTTGTTTCTATGTTGGGAGTAGTGCAAATGAGAAAATCTTGGCTTCAACAGTTTTGTAAAATTGATTTTGCAATGTAAGCAAAGGTTGTCATGGAGAAAGTAAACTTTTTCGTGCTAAGTATTGTGCTTTGTTGAAGCTATTGTTTAGTGGAAGCAAGCCTGTCACACTATACTGTGAACTTCTTACCAAACCATAAAAAACACCATTATAGGGTGTAGATTAACTTTCAGAGTTGGTTTTAATGGTTGTTCCAACTCCATATTACTCTACATAAACCACACTTGACGCTTTCAGGTGTGGTTTATGTAGAGTACCCACTTCTTATCTCAGGTGATAACATGGTAAAACTATTTTAAACATGCATTGCAAAAACAAGAGGTTTATGCAGATGTCTGCTTGCTGACCTAACTTACTTGAATCTAATTTGTGTGATATCCAAATAAAAAGCTTAAAGGTCCTTCTCATTTTGTGCAAGAGATACTCTATGGTACCATAAACACATTGAATTTTGCTTGCTAAACACCATATTGTTAATCTCAGATTGTTTTTTAAATTAGCTGCTTTAAACGCTCCAAATCAGATTTGATTGGGCTACATAATCTGGATTTATCTTGCAACATTAAGTTCTTATTGTAAAAGCATTAAAAACAATTCTTTGTTGTTGACATTACACCCAAACCTGATCATTTTTTTAATCACTTGCTTCATGTGCATATATTGGGAATATATTTTATAACATCTACATTAATATACTTTCTTAAAAAACAAATTAGTGGTTATATTAGTTTTAAAATTGTTTATGTTGATTTAGTCCTGACAAAAAGCTTCAACATAGCGTATATAGCAACTGCATATAAACCATTTATATACCACTCTCTTGTTTTATTAATTCTTTTATTAGATTTATTAATTTATTTCTTGTTATTTTCTTCTTATTCTTGTTTAATTGTAAGTAATTTAAAAAAAAAAAAAAAATCAATAAATTCAATCAATAAATTCTTTTTTATTTAGCATAAGTAACATTAACATGTGCTTAGTTTAGTTGACTTATTTTTTTAATTTGCACAAAGATTAGACATTAAATGTTAATTATAACAAACTTAAGATTTATCTTTTCAAACAGTAAATAATGAGTTTTTTATTTATAAATAGCTACAAAAAAAAAATACCTTTAACTATGTCTTCCTTTTGCATTACCTGCAAAAACATTGAATGACTTATAAACATTGAGTAAAGTTCTTTTAATGTTAGGACATTCAAATCTTGAAATTTTTTTATTTTGTAAAACAAACTAACAGCCATTGAGAGCAAATTAATACATTTACTTTCTGAATAAAAGTTTTTCAGTATAATCGTAACAAACTCATTCCACAAAGAAGCTAATGTTTTCAATTTCTTTGAATATTTTTTAACATCCAATTGACTGATTAATTCTAAAGTTGGCTGGAGGTGCTCGAAAACCCCTGTATCTTTTGAGTTGATAATTCTTAAAATAATTTGAGCAACACCATCTAACAATAGCATTGCATACTTTTTGTGTTCTTTTATAGATGACACAATGTGAATGAAGAGAATAAGATTCTCCTCAACGTTCTCCTCACTCTCAAAGTTCGAAATAATAACCTTAACAAACTCTGCTTTTTCATCAAGTGAAAGAAATGTTTGAAGCCAAACAAGAACATCTATGAATCCTGGGTATTTTGAGTTTAAAATCTTTTCTAAATGTATCTTTAGAATATTTCCTTAAAAATAAAACAAAATTATTGAGCATTAACATCAGACAAACTCACACCACTGCATCACACAAACTCACAAAACTCACACACATTTTTTACTGCAAACATAGGTCTCCATGACTTATTAAAATATCTTTTATAGTAAATTATTTAAATATTAATTATTTCTAAAATTTTAACATATATAGAATTATAACATATTTATTAGTATTGTTATTTTACTAATAACAAAATAAAAAACAAAAATATTCAAAAAAAGAAATCACAAAATAATAAAATAAATACCAACAACTTTATGCTGATCTTCAGTTAAAAGTTTGTAGCTAGAAGCAATCGACAAAAGTGGTAATAGATAAACCAAATTATCAGTGACAGAAAAATTTTGATGATCAATTTCGGTCACCATTGAATCAACCCATTTTATATTTTGCTTTGACAACAGAAGAGCAGCATCTTGAAAAATCTTCTCTCCTAACTTTAACATCTTACATAAAACTTTATAACTAACATTAAGGGTTGGAAAATATTTATAAATTAACAGAAAGCATTTTCTTTGCTCTGCCTGATTTTTGTTTTTTCTTTTTAAACATTCATGCAAATAATCCTTTAATCCAGATAAATCTGATAATATCACTTTAAAAGAAAAGTTTTCATTTATGATCACAAGTAAAGAGTTTAAACTGTTAATGTATGAAGAGGATACTTTTGAGCATTGCTCTACAGAAAAAAGATCACAAGTCACTTTTTTTAATAACTCTACAACAGCAAAAGAAGGTAGATAAACTGCTATATTTTTTACAATACCAAAAACTGCCATCATATTAGTTTCTTGTGAAATTTTTTTTCTCATTTGAAAAATCAAATCAACTAATGCATAAACAAACTCATTAACAGGTCTTCCTGAGTGATGTGTTTTTAGCTCAGGGAATTGCTGAAGACAGTAAGCTAGTGTCTGAGAAATAAGATCTTTCCAATTTAAAAATTCTTTAATGAAACTGGTTTGAAAAATAATCAAGTTGGCTGATACACTAGCAAACGTGCCACCCAAGTTTGAAATCTTGCTTAGTATGGTTTGAAAACTTATTTTTAAGACACTGTCAATTTGACTGATAACAATAGGCTGCATATTGCTATGATTAAGGACAGTAATTATATTGAAAAATAGGGGCAATATATAGTTTGTTAATGAATGTAAAGGCATTTCAGATATTTCTCGTACAAATAACTGTTGTGACGTCAAAAAAAAATTTAGAATATCATCTTTGATGTCTTTCGATGAAAAATAGCTGAGCATCAATGCAGATCTGTATACCATTTCCACAGCATTAGACTCTGCACACAAGTAAAAAAAGTTAATGTTTAATAACTAATAAAACAAACATAATATTGAGCAGCATTTAACAAAACAAAAGCAACCAAAGACTTGTATTTTGTTAAATGTTATTGTTATAAATGTTGTAACTAACATCACAAGATAATTATTGTTGCTATATATGTTGTTTTCTTGCTTTACTTTAATAATACTAATTTTATTTCAAAAATTCAAAGATATTAATGATACATAATGATATATGCATTAATATCGTAAAAAAAAAATCATACGTGTTATAACATCTTTCTTGTTTGAGTAAATTTTATTTGAGTTTGTCTAAATAAAACACAAAATAAACTAAATTAAAAAAAAAAGAGAAAGTAAACTATAATTTTTTCATTTCAAATCTGGTGGTAGTTGTCATGTCACAGAAAATGTAATACAAAATAAATAATTTAAAAAATAAGAAAACATAATTTAAAAGACTAATAGTAACCATGTAATAATATCACTATAGACATAAAGGAAATAACAAATAAAACATGAAATCATATGAAACAACAACTGTATGAACAACCATAGGGTCATTTGCGTATTAAAGATAACTCAGTGTAATGCATCATTATTTACTTTACATTTTAATTATAGTAGTCAAGCATACTGTAATTAAAGGGAAAGGAAAAAACTATTATTAAATAATTGAATGCTGTCATACCAAACTTTGAAATGAGCTTACCAATTAAAATGTATTCTAATTAACATAATTTAACCTAAAAATAGTTTAATCACTTAAGTGTCTTGTGCTCTCCAATACAAATGGACTTCAGGATATAAACTTTTTTTTTAACAAATTTCTAAAATTAAATACTTAATTTATTTTTATAATTAAACTATAATATAGACTAAAATCATGTGTTGAAGTCAAATTTTTGAATTGCTAGTGAATTTTCAAGTAATAAAGAATGGTAACGATAATATCTTTTTTATGTAAGCTTTACTAATGTTTATTATTTGCAATAATTTATGCTCAATTACTAATGAATAATTACTCTACATAATGGGTATGAAAGATTTTTTTTACCTAAAGATAACACAAAAAATATCTCAAAACTTTAAAAGTATTCACACTTAATATTTTTGTTTTGTTTTAGGTACCCCAAAAACATCTAACAGTCTTGTTACAGAGCACCACAGAAGGTCAGAAGGTCACAGAGCACCGCAGAAGGTCAGAAGGTCACAAAGCACAGCAGAAGAGTATTTAACTAGGAAGATCTCCTTTCTTACCGATGGTGCAAAATATGCCCAGAGTTTTGAATCCTTGATCTCTTCTAAAGCAAGCGCTTTAATCACTGTGTCATGGCCACTCTTGATGGTCACTATTGATGGGAAGGAAACTATGGGAAGTATCTTAAAAATTGATTTAAGGTAAACCTTCATTAAATTGAAAAAAACTTTTAACAAAATATTCTTTTAAATTATGTAATAAATATAGTCTTTAAATATGAATAAATTTATTTGAAACTTTTGTAACACCCATTTCTTAAAATACCTACAAGCCGTTTTTTTTTAGCCATGTGTACTGTATACCCATTTTTTAAATACTTATTGAGTTGGTTTAAATTAAAATAATATTTAACAAACAGTGCAAGCATACTATAATATAATATAAAGTTTTCAAAAATATTTAATTTTTATATAATTAATTAATAAAAATATTAATAATTAATTTTGATAATTTTTTAAAGTTTCATTCCAATATTATTTTTGATATCTTGAAAAAGAACCAAACCCATAAAACAACTAAAATATACTAATAAAATATAAAAATTAGTGTAAATCTCTAAATAAAAAATACCATAAGCACAATTCAATTCAGTTTATATTAAAAAAATATTTTAGAATTTCAGAAGTACAAAAATATAACATAATAATTTGTCAAAATTAGTGAAAAGAGTATTTCAGAAAGTATTTAGTTATTTCAAGTTGTGTCATGAAATAATGAACAATTTGTTCTAAATCAAGTTACATTCAACTTCGTTTTAATTTTTTTAACAATAATAAACAATAAATAAACAAAACTTTTAACAATATTTTGCTGAAGGTAAATTTTTAGCAAAGGTAAGTATAATTCTATATAAGTTTAATAAGTACTATAAAGCTCCTTATTTTTTTCTAAAACTAGGCTGAATAATTCTCATTTGTAATTGATATTTGACACCAATAAAAAAATGTTATAAACAAAATTTAGATTTTCCTTTTTGCAGTTTTGACCAACAACACAAACAAATAATAAATAAAAATAGCTTTATCACAATTAAATGTTCTTTAAATGAAGAAAAACAAGATATTTTTATAATATTTAATATGAAAAAATTAAATTATAAAAATTAACTATATTATCAAATGATGACAAATAAGATTGATTAAATCAACTTATTTGTTATTATTTGATAAAATTATTATAAAAAATAAAATATAATTAAAAAAATGAAAAATATATTGGATTAAACCAACATATTTGTCTTTATTTAAATAAATAAAAAATCAAATTATAAAAATTAACTGTAAAAAAGAAAAAACCAAAACTAGTTGTGTAAACTAATTAATTTAAGAACTCAGTGGCAAGCAGTGGCGATGTTTTTATAATGGAAAAAAAAAGTATAATGACAAAAAAAAAAAAAAAATTTATTTTGGAAAGCTACCTCTAAACTTGTTTTTTAATAAAGATTGATGCAGGCTTTTAATTCGTTTGATTAGAGTTTTTTAAATTTTACCAACAAAATTCCAACTTTTAGTAAAATGAAAATTTATTCAATAAGTTAAATAAAGTTGATGGTTAGTCCCTCAACCTTTAAAATAAATGTTTTTTTTGAGAAACTCAAGAGCATCTACAATGCCTTGATTATGAGGTCTGAACTGCTAACTCCACATATAAACTCACTCTACAGTCGCTACTCTGCAATTGAGGATGCTACACATTTCAATTTTGTTTAAAATTAAAGTCTCAACCTTATACTCCAAAACAAAAACCTTGTTAAACAAGGCCTCTATGCAGAGAAATAGATTGAATTAATTCTATCTGATAAAAAATATGCTACTGGGATCTTCAAATATCCATTAACAGCAACTAACAATAAAAAAGCTTTCCTAGCACCAAAACTGTCATTATTAAAAATCTTGTTGTATACATCCATACCACTCAATTTGCTTTTGAATTGGCATCTTTTTATCATGAATTTGAAAAATGAGTCAAATAAACATTAATTAACTTGTTAGATTCATTATTTTCAATTTTACAATTATTTAAATCATTAAGATCAAGACTACTTAATGTTGTTGTGGTCACATTTACTAATCATATTAATTATATTCATTACTATCACATTACTAATCATATATATAAATTACTAATCATATATATAACTAATCATATATATACATTACTAATCATGTATATACATTACTAATCATATATATACATTACTAATCATATATATACATTATTAATCAGACGCTTTTCTTGTAGCTCAATGACCCATTCTTTTTAAAAGTCTATACTTTTGCTGCATTACACACAATTTCTTGGTAAGTTATTTAATACAAAAGAATAATATATATATTCTTATTAAAATATTCTTGTTAAAAGTTTTCAGACTGTCTTGACAAAGACAGTTTGCAGAATTTCTTTCTGGAATCAGAATCATGATATCTTCTAAACAAAATTTTTTTTCAATATTTTGTAATATTATGATACATAGTATTATTATGTGCCTTATAATTTACCACAGAATATTATATATTATATATTGTATAAATAAGAAACTACTCTATTGCATAAATAACATACATGGTAAGCATGATCCTTTCATAATGACTTGACACAAAAAAAACAAGAAGTTTAATGCTTAAACATTTTTATCATAATGCTTAAACATTTTTATTATATATTAAGAAGAATATGTTAAAAAAAAATTGTGATACCTATAGAGGCAGTAGGTCTTTTTAAAATTTTTTCTTTTTTTCAATCAATTATCACAGACTGTTATATATATTTTTTTAAAGTATGTAGTAAAATAAATTAAATATACCATTATAAAATGCTTCTCAAAGTCAATACAGAGCTGAAAATATAGTTTTGATTCTAATTATTGCAAAAAAACTTATGCAAGTTTTTTGCAATATTTAAGATCAAAATTACATATTCAATTTTATATTGAACTTGAGATGCATTTTATAATTGTATATCTAATTTATTTCACATGTCCAAATAATGATAAATGTTTTGTAAGTATTAGTAACTTGCTATAGCAAGTCAATTTTCATTGTGTTATTGATTATATGATTACATAATCATACAGTAACATTTGATATCTTTTTTCATAACTTTATAAACACATGCATAGTATTGTATTAGTGTATGGGTATAATATAATATATAATATAATATATAACCATATGAGAAAGCTACTAAAGCAGAACAATTGTCGAGCAATTTGTATCATTGTATAATAATAATTGTATCATTGTATAATAATAATTGTATCATTGTATAATAATAATTGTATCATTGTATAATAATAATTGTATAATAATAGTTGTATTATACAAATCATTGTATAATAATAATTCCTTGTTGCTTAAAAATATGATGAAATTCAAATATATTTTTTAAACTGATTCATACAAGTTATGTCAGATCAAATACTCATGATTCAATATGGATAAATATCTAGATTCAATATGGATTTCCTATCAAATTCCTAGATTAGCCCAAGATCCTGCTGACAAAATCAAAATAGGACCCATGTGGGATATCCAGATGGGTCCCAGCATTTTCCCTAGTTGAGTTTTTAAACCCAGTTGCACTTTAACTGGTTAACTGGTTACAAAGAATTCATGATATTTAGAGAAAGATACTCAGAAAAAATTTCTCAACAGAGTTAAAAAAAAAAAACATTTAAAGAAGCTTGAGAGAGTTTAATAAATTTAATAAATTATTTTTAATGTTTGAATAAATGTTTTTTAACAAAAATACCTTCTCTATTAAATCTATCCATTGCTTTGAGAAAGTAAAAAAGGATTCCAGCTGAACAGATGAAATATTTGAAACAAATTTAACAATTCTTTTGGGTTCTTTACTACATGCTACAAGTGTTTGAAGAACTGGAGCAACCACCTTTTCAGCCAAATCTTGAATAAAAAAAAATAAAATTTTTCTTTTTTTTAAAAATTTTATAATTTTTGATTTTTCAAAATACATTTTAAATAATCACATTGGATTTTCAATTTACAAAAAAATGTTAGACAGACCTTTATGTATGTTTTCATGCAAAGAAATGCTTTTTTATATAATGCAGACAAAATACATTACTCATTTTTATACACCATATGGTAGCATTTTTCCAAGTGGTTTCGTGAATATTAAATAATGAAAGATTTTCATATTATAGTAAATTAGTAGTATATAATTATTAATAATTAAAATTAACTAAAACTGTTGATTACATAACATAAACTGTTGATAAAATTTTTTTTAGCATAAAATAAAAAAATCTTAAAAATTTTTGATCAGGAAATAAAACTTGTTGATTATGAATCAAAAAATGTTGATTTAAACATAAATCACTGATTGCACAACAAAAAGTATTAAAAATTACAATCAAGAAGTGATTGAATCAATGTTTTTACTTTCAACTAGACTGCAAGCAATCACTAGAGTTGCAAGTTAATGGAAGAGAAAAGATGAAGTTTATAAAGCAAGATAATGTTTAACATCTTAAAGATTGCAAATTATATGAATTAGGAAAACAAAATGAAGGGAGCAAATTCCAAAAATCTAATGTTTAAGAAAAAAAAAGATGAATAAGAATAAATAGAGCACTTAGGAACAGTCACAGTAAAAAAATGAGACTTAATTGAATGAAAAGTAACACAAGAATGAAAATTCTCTTCGATAAGCTCTTTAGAGCAGCATCTGTAATAGCATTTATAGAAAGAAAAAAAAGAGAAGCAACATTACAAAGATGTGAGATTGGTTGAAGGTTAGCTAGAAACACAGGTCCAACTATGTTTACAATGCATTTTTGCACCTTGTCTAAAAGAGAAAGGGCATCATTCAAAGATCCACTCCAGAGATGGCAACAGTATTCTATACAAAGACAGATTTGAGATTTATATAGATAAAGAATAGAATCCAACATAAGAAAGTTATCTATTTTTTAAGCAAGCATGATAAATAGATGCAACCTTAGCAGATGCTAAGGATATGCAATGGATTTGATGTATGGTTACCAAGAAAAATTGGAAGTAAGAGTTAATCCTAGAAGAAAAATGGTAGACAACTAGTTGAGTACATTACCGTTCATAAATTTAGGAAGATCTAGATTGTTGCAATAATGATAACCTGAAAAATATTGAGATTTATCTGAGTTAAAGTTCACCAGCCACTGAGAGCCTCATGCTGTAGAAGTAAGATCCTTTTCAAACTCAATGCCTTCTCCAAGCAATCAGAGAGTGTTGGCTTCCTATCAAGATAGGAATAAATGGTAGTATCATCAGCAAAGAATGCAACCTTAGATGTGAAAGTATCTGGAAGATCGTTATTGTAAATCAAAAAGAGTATAGGGCCAAGAAGAGAACCTTGAGGAACCCCTGAAGTTACAGGATATGAAGAAGAATGCTGTCCATTGAGGACAACTTTTATACTACAATTTGTAAGGAAGGATTCAATAATCTTAAAGATGATACCTGATATACCATAAGAAAAGAAGTTATGGAGAAGACCAGCATGCCAAACTTTATCAAAGGCTTTAGAAATGTCATGAGTGATAGCTCTTGTCCTTTCCACATCTGTCTAATGCACAATAAAACCTATTAGTTATCACAATTAACAAATCAATAGTAGAATGAGAAGAGCCAAATCCATATTGATTAGGTTTTTGTTAATTAAAGACTTAAAAACCTTGCTTATAATAGGAAGAAGACTAATGGGAAAGTAGTTAGAAAAGTCAGATCGCTCTCCAGAATTTTTGAAAATAGGGATAACAGATGCCACTATTAGGGATAACAGATTCATGGATAGATTTAGATTTGCCAGATGTTGCTTTCCAGCAGGTTGGAAAATAAAAGTCTGATAAGCACTTATTACATTGTTTTGAAAGTATAGACGACAGCTCTGGAGAACACTTCTGCAATACTATAACAGGTATGTTGCCCGAACCACAAGCTGTCGAAAAATCGCTTTAGAAACAGAAGCAGGAGTGATACGAATGTAAAGCATTGGATCAACCTGTTTGTTGAATATATCAGGTAGGATGTAATTAGTGGAATCAAAAAGTGAGATTGATAAAAAGTTCTTAGCAAACAGTTCAGCTTTGTCTTCAGGTGAGGTGACAAAATCTGAACCATACCAGAGAGGTGGAGCAGTAAATTTGCCCTTAATATAGATACTGTTAAAGCTTCTCAAGAAGTCATTGGAGATTAATTTTTGATATGAAAAACAAGATTTTGTGACTTGAGAATAGCCGGCTTTGGCATTAGACAACACCTTTTTACAATTGTTTCTAGCAATAATAAATAGACGTGTGTTTTCTAAAGAATTGTTATTGGGATAGATATGGAAGTAATGGTTACAATTGGAAATTGCAACAGTACAATGAGAGAAAAACCATGGAGAAGAGTGAAGTTTGACTTGGAATGGTTTAGAGGGAATAAAAGATTTCACGCCAGCCTGTATCCAAGAAATTATATATGAAGCACATTTATCAGCAGGATGATGAAAAAATTCTACCCAAGGGCCATCACAAAAAAAATCACGGAAAGAGTCCCAATCAGTTTTTAGATAGTTGTAAGAGATCTGATGATAGGGGGATTCTGATGATGAAGAAAAATAAGATAATTATTTTAGAGAGATCAAACAGTGATCAGAAGCATCTAAAGAATAATGTGGAGAAACTGAGCACTGACTAGGATAAGACATAAGTTGAGTAAGGTAAATGATTCGGATTGTTTGAAAAGCAAGTTTAAACATTTACTATTTGTGTTAGAGATTGGAAAAGGCAAAAGATGTGGGCCTTAACACCCAAAGAGTCACTGACACACCAGAGCCAAGCCATTTAGTGTGATGAGCATTAAAGTCACCAACATTAATGGTATTGGCTAAAAGATAAAGAAAAAGGGCTCGGTCAATTTGATCAGAAATAACATAAAAATAAGTGCAGCCTTAATATGTAGGAGAGGGATATAGAGCAAAGAAAAAGGTGATAGAAAGCACATAAAAGAATAGTCTGTGGATTCAAACCTAGTTTCCTGATAAATGGATGAATTTTTACAAATGTAAATGCCCAGGCCAAGCACATGACTATTGGAGTCATTATGAATTAAACAATAAACAAAAATAAGTATTTAATATTTTACAGCTGTTGATGGAACCAGCCTCTCTGAGAGCTACCACAGAGTTTGGGGAAACCTGACTACCAGCTGGCCTCAAAACCATAAAATTGAGTTTTAGAACCGTACTTTCATCAGGAGCAGACAACTGAAGAACCTAAAAGAAACAACTAACAAACTTAGAAACAACTGATGAACATGATAAACTAATGGACATTATTGTTTAGCAAGACACAAAATTTTTTGTGTTTTGTGTTAATAAGACAATTTAGTTTTATTGTAAAATGTCCCCCAAAAAAAATTATTTACTGATTTTTTTTATTTAATGAACTAAACATACATTTCAGTTGGTTCTTCATTAAAAAAAAATTATAAATAATTTTTAATGAAAAAAAAAACAAAAATATCAAATAAACCATAGTAAGATATGGAAAATGTAGAAAATGGAAATGTTTGGAACTTTAATAATATAACAGTAATGTGTAAAACGTTTAATAAATGCTGCATGCAAAAAAAAAAAGAGGAAAAGTGTGTAATAGAAAAGTATAGAACAAAATGCTGCATGCAAAAACACTAAGTTAGTAATAATAGAATCTTCCAGAATTTTACTCTGCCACAGCTGAGGTCACCCTTCTTAACTTATCTATAAGCGAAAATAATTTCATTCAAGGGCAAATGAAGAGGTTTGTTTTACATTTGAAATAATTTGATTCAGGGTCTTGTTTTACTTTTGACATAATTCAATTAGCAACAAAAATAACAATAGTCAATTCAATAATAACAATAAGTCAATTCAAATAACAATAGTCAATTCAAAAATAACAATAGTCAATATCACATTTTCATAATTAAATTAGTTTGTTATAAAAAAAAATTTGTCAGATCAAAATGAATAAATGTATCAAACTGAATTAATTAACCCAACTGTAAACAAGCTTACCTCCTGAAAGCAATGATAACATATTAATACTTAAAGTACTGCATGGTTGCCTTTAAAAATAACAAAAGTTAATATAACTACCATAATTTTTGTAAGTACTTTTATTTTAAAAGTTAAAAAAAAACATACTTATTTTCTTCACACAAACCATCCAATAAACCTTCATCCACTAAAATTCAAAATAAAAATTAATTTTAACAATGCTGTAAAAAACTAAAAAAAAACAATTTATACCTTTTACAGAAGAGACAGAAAAAGCTAAAAATCTTTAAAAGACATAAAAGCTTTCATAAAACACAGGTTAGAAGCCTCTATAAGAATCAGGTAGAAAGCCTTCATACCCAAACTGAAAGATCCAGTTAACCTGGGCCTTGGCTTTAAAGTAGAAAACTTTTAAGCCAAGACCCAGGAACTTTTAATCTTTTAGAATATTTCTATAGCAACAACTTAAAAGGGACTTTTAGGTTTTAAAATGATTTACTTTTATTGTGTAAAGAAACATTAAGTTTCAAGTTATTTAAATTTATTATAAAAATTTATTTGTTACAACAAGAAAATTTGCATTCTTTTTCTTTAAAAATAGATAATTTATTTAACATCGTATTAACTTTAACATTAAAAACATTACAATTTTACCTTTAACATCAAAAACATTACAATTTTACCTTCAACATCAAAAACATTACAATTTTAACCTTAACATCAAAAACAATTACAAACTAGGATTTTATTATGTGTTACTAAAATAACATTATGTTAATACAACAACAATGGCAACAACAAAATCAACAAAAATGATAATAACAATACTAAAAACAATAAATATCAATTTATTTTTAAAATAAGCAAAAAAAATATTATTATTCAATTAATTTATAAGAATAATGTCACTCAAACATAAACCTGATCCAAATAATTATTGATAGTAAAATAATAGTAGGGGAAGTTTGTGTACCTTGTGTATCTACCTTGTGTATTTACCTTGTGTACCTAGGTACACAAGGTAGGTACCTTGTGTACCTAGGGCCACATTTTTCAATGCCTTAATTCTTCATAATTTAAAATTCTACTTTTTATAATTTAAAATTTTTGTTGCCACTGATTAATTTTTAGTTTAAACTTTGAAAGGTTTTATTTTTTATATATGCAAGCGTGTGTATGCGTGTGTTTATATGTGCAAGTTTATATGCATAATATAATATATAAGTATATACGTGTGCATAAACTATAAATTATATCTAACATTTAAATTACTAAATGCTTAACAATAAAATATACCACAAAAATTTGAAAGTGCAAAGGGATCATGAAGCAAATCTAAACAGCAAGTGGCAAATATTTCACAGCCTAAAGATTCTTCCTGATTTAGTAAATAATTTAGCCAAGTAGAAATTTCAAAATATAACTCATCAAATTGATTCGTAATATTTAAAACCTAGAAATTAAAAAAAAAAAATATTTTGAATAACAAACAAAAAAGATAATATAACAATAATAATACTAATTATAAAATATAACAGTAATAATAATGTTCTAAATTTTCAACTTTTAAACATGTAAATAAAGTACAAAAACTATTAAAACATTTGTGTTTTAAAACACAAATGTTTCAAGTAAGGTCATGTCTTCATTTACCCTTAAAATGTTTCAAGTAAGGTCATGTCTTCATTTACCCTTAAAATGTTTCAAGTAAGGTCATGTCTTCATTTATCCTTAAAATGTTTCAAGTAAGGTCATGTCTTCATTTATCCTGATTTCAAGAAAACTTTAAAACTTCAGAACTTCGAAACCATACCAGATTTTAATTTTGGGTTTTCGGGTGAAAAATCTCTACTCAATCATTAATTAATTTCTATTAATCATATTTGAGTAAAATTCTTTTTTAAATCTTATTTTGAAATTTTTGAAAGTTTAAGCACTTTCCTTCATTACCATGGTAACCATCTACTGTAAATGATTCTTCACTGAGAATAAAAAATACATTTAATATTTTAATTTTATTTAAATAAAGTAAAAAAGCAAAAGACTTTAGTATTATTACTAAGTTGATTATTTAGATTTTTTCCTCAAACATCAGTTCTTTGAAATTCCCTTCCTTTATCTTGCTTTCCTGATTAATATAATTTGCAATCTTTTAAGTTGTCTGTCAATCATTATCTTGCTCTACAATCTTTATCTTTTCTCTTCCAGTAATTTCCAACTCTTATTAGTGGTCGCTTGCAGCATTGTTGAAAGCGAAGATAATGAAAAAAAATAAAAAATAATAAAGGATAAATTGCTTTTTAATTCCAAAACAAAAATTGGTTATCAATTGATTTTTTTCTGAATCAGAGCTGATTCTTTCTTAATTCTTTTTTTACACATTTTTATTTTCTTCTGCTAGCACTTCTGTTTCTTTTAGATTTTAGTTTTTCTTTTTTCTTTTATTATTTTTTATTTCAAAAGCATTACTTCTACCTTAACTTTTTCTTAGCCTTTTTCTCAAATTGTTTTTAGCCATTTAAATCTCTAACAATTTGGATGAAGTTACAACACTTGGTAATCGTTCAATTTGTTTCATTATTTTTTAGTGATTTGTTGTTTGTTTCCATAGTGATTTGTTGTTTTGTCCATAAAAGAACATGGCGTAATAGATTTACATCTTTTATTATTTGAATATTTGAATTTATTGGATCTGATGTATATTTTATTATTTGTTTAGCTATAAAGGTTGTGTATACATTTTACCTATGTTCCACTAAACACACAGGGAAAAACTTTGGACTCTGTTAGTTTAGGAAAAAATCTGACCTCTTTAAATGTTTTGCTACTTTAATTCAGTGCCTTGATAAACTGTTCGACCAAGCCTAATTTTATATGGAGTGGAGACAGAAGAACTATATTAATTAGTACTTATATCCTTTACATTGTAGACCCGTGGCTGCAAATCTTTTCTTTTATGCTGTGTTTGACTGATATGTAAGAATAGTGATTTCTGTTGAGAAGTGCAGTCTCTAAACAATTTGTGGAACTGTAAAAAAATAGTTGCCATTGGTCAGTTTAACGTGAGTTAAATTATTTGTAACAGTTTCACCACATCTGAACAGAGCAGAAAGATTTGTGTCCTGTTAAGTCCTGAACAAGTACTGGTTTGTCTTATATGGTACTTGATAATTTTCACAGTTGGTTGCATGGACTCCATTTTTTTAAATTGGATGCAAGTTGGTTTAGGAAAGTGAAGTTCGCAATCAATAACTAATCCAAGGTTAGAAAAGTGAAGTTCGCCAGATTGCCAAGTTCAGTCTTCTAGTTCTTCTGTATAACCATTACTTTTATCAATTATTTCCGTGATGACTTGATCTGTAATAATAATAAAGTTATAGAACAATGAAACGATTGACGAAAGACTTAAAAAGTTGAAGGTTGTATGAGTCAGGAATACATGAAGATTGAAGCGAGTTTGTTAGAGTTGAAGTGTGGGGGAAAAAGCTACACAAATTAAAGTTTTTGGGGCATGCAGGGACAGATAGAGTGAAATAATGAGATTTTAATGAATAATGAGTCAAACGAAAATAAGTTTTGGTTGATGGAACAAGAGATGAAAGCTCATTTGAGCGGTGGTCATGATAGTATTTGTAGAAAAGAGAAAGAGATGCAACTTTACAATGATGGGAAAAAGTTTTGCAGATAGACCGGGTCCAACTACATTTACAATGTCTTTTTGGACCTTGTCTAGAAGAGAAAGAGCATCATTAGAAGAAAGAGCATCATTTGCCCAAATATGACAACAGTATTCCATATAGGGACGAATAAGAGATTTGTGGAGGTAGAGAATGGAATCAGGAGAGAGAAAATTGCAAGCACAGTAAAGAGAAATAACCCTAACAGATGCTAATTTAGCAATTCCATGAAAGGTCAGTAGTGAATGGTAATCCAAGATGACGTAAAGAAGTGAACTTAGTGAGAGGGTTGTCATTCATTAATATAGGAATGTCAACAGTACTGTGATAGTTGTTTGCAGTAAATAACTAAGTTTTGTTGGGGTTAAAGTTTCCAAACCACTGTGAACCCCAATCTGTAACGTAAGAAAGATCAGATTCAAGATTGGCTGTTCTAAGAGATCAAAAAGAGATGACTTTTTGTCAAGACAGAAATATAAAGTTGAGTCATCAGCAAAAAGAGCTACTTTAGATATAAGGTTGCAAAGATCATTAATGTAGATCATTAACGTAGAAACAAAATAGAACTAAGGATAGAACCTTGAGTTACCCCAGAAGTTACTGGAAATAAAGAAGTGTTGGCCTTTGAGGATGACTTTGGTAAAGTAGTTAGGAAGAAACAATTTAATAATCTCAAAAACTTTACCAGATACACCATATAAAACAAGCTTATGGAGAAGACCAACATACCAAACTTTGTGGAAAGCCTTAGATATGTCAAAAGCAATAGCCCTAGCCTCTTTGCCTCCATCTAATGCACAATAAAACCTTTCAGTCACAACAGTTAGCAAGTCAGCTGTAGAGCGAGAGGATTGAAAACTGTATTGATTGTCTGACAGCAAGTTATATGACTCAAGATGGAATGTGAAAAAGCTGTAGAACTGGACCACAAGCCGTAGAAGAGTTTAATCAAGATATGACTTTAGCAACAGAAGTTAAAGTGGATTGATTGTCTAACAATAGGTTAAACTGTTTAATTGGAATGGAAGGAAGAGAATGGCCATAAGATTTGAGAGTCGAATTAGAAGAAAAGTTCTTTGCAAACAGCTCAGCATTATCATTGGGAGAGGTAATAAGATCAGTCCTATGAATGAAAGATGAAATGATTTTTTAAAAGTCTAACTTCTGAAATAAGATGTAAGATGTGAGCCTAACTTCTGAAATAAGATGTAAGATATGAGCCTAGTGAACCTAGAATAATTCTTGCAATAATAAATAGCTGTTTGTTCTAAAGAAACTTGTTTATTTGAAAAAGATGAAAAAAATGATTGTGATTAGATATAGCAGCTGCACTAGATGGTGAAAACCATGGAATAGAAAGAAACTTGACTTGGAACCAACGAGAAGAAATAAAAGCATCCATTCCTGTATGAATCCAGGAGGTTACATAGGAGGCGCATTTTTCAGTTGAGAGGGAAAAGACATCAGCCTAAGAATCGTCACAAAGAAAATCACGAAAAGAGTCCCAATCAGCTTTAGGGTAGTAATAAGTGGTGCGATGATAGGATGAGTCCGAAAATGAAGTACGAGATATAAGATTTAAGGACATCATTGCATTGGCAGAACCACCTGAGGGAGAAAAAGGAGAAACTTAACACAAGCGACCAATATAATTTGAGGAGTGAAGGTAAATGATTAGGTTGTCAGGAAAATGAGTCACAAAGTTAACTATCTGAAAAAGAGATCGAAGTTATAGGCTTTCAAAGAGAAGAGAGAGAGAGCATGGTCAATTTGATCAGAAATTATGTCTAAAAGAGCGCAGTCTTGGAAAGAAGGAGAACAATAAAGAACAAAGAGAAAGGTGATAGTATGAAGAGGTACAAAAGCAGTAGTATTGGTAGAACTTAAATAGACATGATAACCTATGATCTTCTTCTTCTTCTTATCCTTAGCTTTTTTATGGATAAAAACAATTAGCATGCTAAAGTATTAGTAATTCAGGTGATTTTCTGGCTCATTCCAAATTTTGGATTCTACTAATGGCATCCTTTTCTTAGCATCTCTCAACCATTCTTTCAATGATCACTGGTAATTAACAGAATGTAGGCATTAAAGGCCATTCCCAAAAAAAAAAAAAAGCTTTATAATAAGTAGTCAAAATCAATAGTTTTAGTAAAGAAAAAGAATTTTTTTGAATGCAGTTCAAGATACAAGATCTAAGATACAATTTCATTTTATATTATATTATAATTAGGTTTTTACCATTATGTGATGAAATAAATTATTTTTTGTAGAGACAAAGGTGGTTAGGTTGTAGGGATTGCAACCCTATGTGTCATTTCTATACTTACCTAATGTAAATGATTTGATATGGTTTGCATATTTTAAAATATACTTTTTTATTATGTTGATGATCCCTGGAACTTGCGGGGACTTGGTAGACAATATTGTTGGACAAACACTGTTTACTCAAAGGGCAAAATGCTTTATCTACGCAGTTACATTGCTTGATTTTTAATTGATTTTCATTATGCAAAATTTTGAATTTATGCAAATGTAAAACTTTTCTCTCCATCATAGATTATCATAGATTATAATATCTAAAAGCAAATTAGAAATTTTTAGTTTTTCTTATAAAAAGGGATAAGTGTTTTTGTTTAAGAGAATTTTTTTCACAAATGTATTTAAAATTTTTTGTTCCTTATTAATTCCATATAGTGTAAGTTCTTTTGACGTAATACATTTACTATACACTTGCATATTTAAATTATGTTTACAAATATCTTATTGGTAACTGATAAAATCTATTTATAAATAAAAATTAAAATAAAAAAATTAAAATAAATAAAAGATTATGTTAAGCATAAGATTGTTTTACGAAATAAATTAAGTAAATATATTTCTTAAAACTTTTTAAAAATTTAAATTCTATCAATAACAATAACTTTTGTAATATGAGTTTTAAATGATTCTTAATGCACTTTTAAATTAAATTAAATTATGCGATACTTTAAAATATTTTCAAAATATCAATAGTTTTAAGGCTCCTGTAACAAATGAAATCTTAATAATTACAACACAAAAGGTTTTAAAGTATTTGTAAAGACTTTGTTGTGGTAAAAAAAAGTCCCTATTTTTTTAAGAAAATGAGCGTTTATTTCAAGTAAAAAAACTAATGGCGTATATATCAGCATGTCAATTATTATCTTAATATAACTAGAATATGCACGAACTCAGCTAAATGCAGTAGTGGTGTAGTGGTAAAGCGCTCGCTTCATAAACGAGTGGTTCCGAGTTCGATTCCCACCACGTCCCTGGTAGTACCGCGCTCAATTTGTTTCGTAGCGCAGCGGCCTCGTTTGTCAAGGTTCGTGTTTCGGAGTTATAGAGTTGAGAGAGGGTTGTTACCACAAATAAGTAGCCTCCTCGTCTGTAGTGGCCTTCTCGACCTTGAGGAGGTGAATTAAAATAAAAAAATAAAAATAAAAAGAATGCAAAAATTTTTATAAAAAATAGTGACAGGCAACTCAACAAGTTGGTGGGTGACCAACATTAATGAACTGGTTACTTTCAGTCACCCTTCTGATATATATATATATATATATATATATATACATATATATATATATATATATATATATATATATATATATATATATATATATATATATATATATATATATATATATATATATATATATATATACATATATATATATATATATATATATATATATATATATATATATATATATATATATATATATATATATATATATATATATATATATATATATATATATATATATATATATATATATATATATATATATATATATATATATATATACATATATATAAATATATATATATATATATATATATATATATATATATATATATATATATATATATATATATATATATATATATATATATACATATATATATACATATATATACATATATATACATACATATACATACATATACATATACATATAAACACACACACAAAAACATAAATATACAAGTTATAATTAATTTAAAAAAAAAAGTAACCTTAAAAAAAAGCATTTTAGCACAATTTACAATATTGATTTCATGTTTCCATTGCATAGCTACTTGAAGAAGCAGATGTAAAAAACTTTTATAGCCAGACATTTTCTATAAAATAAAGATCCATTTTGAATCAAATGTGATATATTAAACATACTAATGTTGGCATAACACAATGATTTTTAAAAGATAACTATAGTATATTTCTTAAACGAGAAACTTTTAAAAGTTATTAAAATTTAGCTAATGTGGCTGAAGTTCTGCAGCTATATAGCTCAAAAATTATTAACATTTAGCAGCTGTGACTGAAGTTCTGCAACAAGTTCATATAGCTTGCTAGCTAAGAATGAGCTTATAAATAGCTTGCTAATGATGAGCTTACAGTTCAATTCTGTTCTGTGTAACTTAAATTTGAATTTAATAATAAGAATGAATTAAGAATAAACAAAACAAAAAAAACACCTTGTCTAACCATGAACGAACACTTGTGTTTTCAAGTAGCAAAATTTGTAAACTTTTGCTAACAATAGATGCACTTATTTTATTATTAGTAAAAATAAGTAGCTTGCAAATATTATAACCAGAGTCACTAATGATTCCTGGTTTTATAACTTGAAAGAGGTAAAGACACTCAATGCTTCTTTCCAATAAATCTAAAGAAATAATTCAACAACAAACAATTTTCTCTTTAAATGTTTTACAATAACTTTTAAAATAACATTTTTACAAAAATAAAATATTAAAAAATAATAGAAATAGTACAACTAAATGTCTTTAAAAAAATCAATATTATAAACTAACAAGATATATAATTTCAAATAATTACTTGATTCTTGTTCTTTTTTAACTATTCCTTGTGGTCCTAATGTTTGACGTACTTTAATTACTGCAATGACATCAGGTAATGATTGAATTAAGGAGTCTATCCAATCTAACTTCTTTTCTTCACTTAAAAGTAATGCTGAAAACATTTCTTTAAAATCAACACAGCGTGATAAAACAATGATAAGAAGATCCAAGGTTTTTAATAAGACATCACTGCTAGCATTCTTTTTTTAAAATTTCGAAATAATTTTTAAACAATATTATCCTTTTTGTAAAGTTAATGAAACAAAATGTTTTAGTAAAAATAATTTACCTTAATCCCAGCTTCATAATGCCGTTTTGGCATAGGTGGAATTAGTATTTTGAAATAATACTCTTTGTCAGGTTTCACTTTGTTTGAATCTGACAAAATATCAGAAACCTTGGGTACATTTTTCATAATCTAACAAAAAAAAAATTTTAAGTAGCAAATTTTAATTATTAGCTACATTTTTATTGTTTTTATTTAAAACAAATTTGTGAAATAAAGTAAAATAAATAAATAAAATGGATAGTTAGTGTGCAAAAAAAGTTTGTTTTCATTCTTTGTCACTCTGGAAGCATGAACTTTATGAAAGATATGAAATAGTATAGAAACATGAAGCTTATGAAAAATATGAAAAAATCTTATGGAGGTTTTACTAAATTAGTTTCTTATGAACTTTAAATATAAACCTTATTTAAAACAAATTCAATGAAGTATTGCAGTTTTATTAAAAGTTGTACTTTTCATTCATTTTAGATATACTTTTATTTATTTTATCTTTTTCAAACTATTAATTATAAATATGAAAACTCACATGTGACATAAATTTAAATTAATAATATAAGCAGTATGGAAATAGTAACAGAAAAAGGTAAATACTGAAAAAAAAATTGATAAACAAAAAAATTTGATAAATATTTGAACCCTCAAAAATTTTGAAACTAAAAAAAAAAAAGCAAAATAATAAAAAACAATTTAAAAAAATCAGAAAACTTATAAAAATATTATGAAAGAAAAATGATGATAGATGAAACATATAAAAGTGTAACATTTTTAAAAACAATTTTTGTAATTTTTTATTTTAAAAATCTTAAAAAATAAAAACCTCAATTGTAAAGTTAATTTTGTTGTGCCATTGTTCAGAACATTTTGGCTCCATTTGTAGATCAATAGAACTTATATAAGGAGCAATTACATCAGGACAAACCTTCAGTGTTTTTATTGTCAGGTCCAATAAGTTTTTTTGAAGCAAAGCATGCTGCTTTATAGATGTCAAAAACTTGAGTAAAACAGGATTAAGTAATCTATAATGAGTTTAAAAAAACTTTTTATTAAAATATATAACATCACTATAAAAATAACTGCTGATATAACTTTTAGTACAGAGTAGTGAGATCCATATATATTTGTGTATGATGAATTTATGGAATGGGATAAATACTAGTCACTAAAACACGATTTAAATCATGGTTCTTTTAAAATATTCAGAGCTAATATTCATGGCAAGGAGTGTTATACTCTTCTGAACATAATCTAATACAACTAAATTCTTACATTAACATTCACATATGATAATAAAACCATACCAGCGTAGACAAAGTCACCATTTCCACTACATAAGGACTAATATATATATTAACTAATTAACAACACTAAAAGCCTCAAGAAACTTTTTTAAATTGTTGAAAATCTGAAAGATGACTTAAAATAGTCTCTTCTATGAAATCTTTACTGACTATAACTCTAAAAAGTACAAAAGTCATTTTTTCTGTTTTGCTTTTGAGATTTCTACTAAAAGTTCTAGTTGCATTACTTCTTTTGAGATACCAAAAATAGTAATGCAACTACAATTTTTGTACCTTAAAAATAGTAATGCAATAACAACTTTTAGTAGAAATCTCAGGTTAATACATCATCACTTTAACACATCATCACTTCTCTTCATTTTGTAGATGTTTGAGTTTTATGTTTTATGTTCAAGATTTTTTTTTAGGGGCATGGTTTAAAGATTTTTAAGGAAATTGATATTAAGTATAACTCATAATTGAAAGAACTAAATTAAAAGAGATATTTAATTTAATTGAAAAAACTAAATCAAAAAGATATTAAATCTTAAAACAATAATATATAGAATAGCATTACAATAGTCATGACATATATATATATATATATATATATATATATATATATATATATATATATATATATATATATATATATATATATATATATACATATATATATATATATATATATATATATATATATATATATATATATATATATATATATATATATATATATATATATATATATATATATATATATATATATATATATATATATATATATATATATATATATATATATATATATATATATATATATATATATATATATATATATATATATATATATATATAAATATAAAATATACTTTTCTATATACAAAACTTGTCTAAATGAACATACTTTCCAGTGAATGGTTCATCTTTTTTACATCCAAAGCAAATTCCTTTTTTTTGGTTTGTACAAAGAATCTCTAACATTGAAAGTGCAACACTGCTAATACTCTCTTCATTATGTTTACATAAAAGAGCAAGTTTGAAAAGAACAGATGAACTAAAGAATATTATCTTCATCTTTTTTAATAAACTTGATTCCTCGACTACCTAAACAAATAATAGCAAAGAAATTAACAAAATGATAAATAGGATATAAATATCAAACATAATAAACATAAAAATAAATAAAAAACTATTTAAAAAACTAATTTATAAATTTAAACAAAAAAATAAACTAAAAGTTTAAATTCTAAAATTTTTTTATTTCAGTTGTCTCAATTAGATTTTTAATAAAAACATTTATACTTCATTTTCAAGCTTGTGCAAACAAGTCAAAATTAAATTAACAGCCTTTTTTCTAAGCATTGCTAATGCCAAAAAAATTTATAAAATATTTTTTTATAAATTTTTTACAAAGAAACATTGTTATAACAACTATTTATTTCATGCAAGCAATCTAATTAAAACATCTGCGCTATATCAATCTATGGTTATTAAGATTTTTTGTTTCCTTTTATGATTATGATTTTTGTTTCCTATTTTTGAAATCATCTTGAAAAAAATAAACAAAAACAAAAAAAGATTCTCTAAAGTGAAACTATTCTGTCGTAAGTTAAATAAATATAAAAAATTACATTTTGTAAAAAAGTGTTCAAAACAGCACCAATAACTTCAGGTGAATCTTGATTTATATCATCAAACACCAATGATATTAAATCTAAATTATGAACGTATTAATTTAAAAAAAAAACTTATTCTTTCAATAAAACTTGTGTCAACAATACATTGTTATACTGTAGCTTTTTTTGTCATTTTTTGTCATTTGTTATTTTGTGAGTATTTGTTCTAATTGTGAGTCTAATAACAAAAATTACCTTTGGCAAAGATATTTAGATTATCAACTGTCTTTTCTTCTAACATTTTTAACAATGCTGAAACATCTCCAAATACAAAGAAAGCAAGCAAAAAACGAACAAAACAAGTACGAGGATCTGGTTTAAGCTTAAATAAAATAAAAAACAAGCTCATGGTAAACATAAAATCATTGTAAATAAATCAAATTTAAATAATAAAAATAAAAAGGAACATTTGCGTAAATAAAAACAAGAAAAATTTCTTAAAAAATCAAATGAAATCTTTAGAAAAATTTTTTAAAAGCAAAATGCTTTACTCACTGGCCATGGTCTCATGTAATATATATATATATACATATATATATATATATATATATATATATATATATATATATATATATATATATATATATATATATATATATATAAACATACATACATACATACATACATTCATACATACGTACATTCATACATACATACATACATACATACATACATACATACATACATACATACATACATACATACATACATAAATATATATATATATATATCTGTTTACCAGCCTTGCACCACATCTTTATCTACTAGGCTGGCGCAGATGTATTTTTAATACATTGTTTCCAGTTTAAGATGTTAAATGCTGGGTCTTCAGGACTCAATGCATGGGTTTTGCTTGTGTCTCTGTTTTTATGACTAGGCAACTCATTCTATTATCTTCTAATGAGGGTACAGCTCTAAAACTCATTTTTATGGTTCTGAGGCCGGCTGGTAGTGAGGTTTCCTGAACTCTGTGGTAGCTGTCAGAGAGGCTGATTCCATCAACAGCTGAAAAATATGAAAGTATTAACAGTACCATGTTGCGCATGGATGGTGTCCCTGTTTGTACTTTTGGTGTGCATTGCCAAGGCCACATTGGAGCATAGTAATGAGGCAATTACTTGGGCTATTAAACAATGTACTGAGTACTATCTATGTTTTGAGTCAAGTTCTTTTACAAATTTAAAAATGAATAAAGTAACAAAAACTATAAAACACAAAAAACCACTGTCAATACCAAGTTCGCTAAACCTATCATTCACTATTATTCGTGGTCTTTAAAGTAACTTTTCTTCTGTTGAGTCTTATCTCTTGAAAAGTTCACCAGACCTACTTGCTCTTTGTGAGACTTAATTGAGTTCAGCTGTCTCATCTTGTGATCTTAGTGTTTCTGGTTATCTTCCTTTATTTCATAAAGACTCCAATAGTCACACGCTTGGCCTGGGCATTTATATATGTAAGAATTCACCCATTTGTCGGAAACTAGTTTTGAATCCACAGATTACTCTTTCATGTGCTTTTGTTTAGCACCACTTCGCCTATCACCTTTCTCTTTGTTCTATATCACTCTCCTTTATCTCAAGCCTGCACTCTTCTTGATGTTATTTCTGATCATATTGACCAAGCCATCTCTCTTTATCCATCAGCAAATATTGTTGTTGTGAGTTACTTAAATGTTCATCACACTGGATGGCTTGGCTCTGATGTCAGTGACTCTGCAGGCAACTTTTGTTTGATGTCAGTGACTCTGCCCACAACTTTTGCCTTTTTTCAATCCCTAACTCAAATAGTCAACTTTCCAACTCGCTTTCCAGACAACCCAAATCATTTACCTTCTCTACTCGACTTATGTTTTGTTTCTGATCTTAGTCAGTGCTCAGTTTCTCCACATACACCTTTAGGTGCCTCTGATCACAGTTAGATCTCTCTAAAACTATTATCTCATTCTTCTTTATCATCAGACTCCCCCTATCATTGTAAATTTTACAACTACCTTAAAGCTGACTAGGACTCTTTCCGTGATTTTCTTCGCTTTGACCATCGGGTAGAAATCTTTCGTATGGTTCAGACTATCACCTCACCTAAAGACAAAGCTGAATTATTTGCTAAGAACTTTTCATCAATAGCATCTCTTGATTCCACTAGTTGCGTTCTACCTAATATAGGTATCAAACAGGTTGGTCCATTGCTTGACATTCATATTATTCCAGCTTTTTTTTTTTTTTTTTTTATTTTACTTCACCTCCTCAAGGCCGAGAAGGCCACTACAGACGAGGAGGCTACTTATTTTGTGGCTATAACCCTCTCTCAACTCTATAACTTCGAAACACGAACCTTGACGAACAAGGCCGCTGCGCAGAGAAACGAGTTGAGCGCGGTACTACCAGGGACGTGGTGGGGATCGAACTCGGAACCACTCGTTTATGAAGCGAGCGCTCTACCACTACACCACATACCGCATACCAGCTCCTGTATCTAAAGTGATTTTCCTGCTTAGACTCTTCTACAGCTTGTGGCTCGGACAACATACCTGTTATAGTTTTGCAGAAGTGTTCTCCGGAGCTGTTGTCTATCCTCTCAAAACTATTCAACAAGTGCTTATCAAAGTCTTGTTTTCCAGCCTGCTGGAAAGCAGCATCTGTTATCCCTATTTTTAAAAATTCTGGAAAGCGATCTGACTCATCTAACTACCGCCCTATTAGTCTTCTTCCTATCATAAGCAAGATTTTTGAATCTTTAATTAACAAAACACTTAATCTCTCATCTTGAATCTAATAACTTACTTTCTGATCATCAATATGGATTTCGATCTTCTCCTTCTACGGCTGATTTGCTAACAGTAATAACCGATAGTTTTGCTAACAGTAATAACCGATGGTACATTAGATAAAGGTCGAGAAGTTAAGGCCATCGTACTTGACATTTCTAAAGCGTTTGATCAAGTTTGGCATGCTGGTCTTATCCAAAAGTTTCTTCTTCCGTTGTATCTGGAAACATCTTTACGATTATTTAATCCTTTCTTTTCAATTGTAGTATAAAAGTTGTCCTTGATGGACAGCACTCTTCTTCTTATTCTGTAACCTCAGGGGTTCCTCAAAGTTCAATCTTTTATTATATTTTAAATAATATAATTTAAGTTAAATAAATATATAAATTTACGCATCAGTTCAAAGTTTGCATTAAATTTACAATTACAAAACACCCGTCAGTATTGAAACCAACTTTTAAGTTTTGAATGAAATGAATCAGTTTAGAAGTGAAAGATAAGGCAAAGTATTTATATAAGTATTCTAAAAATGGTTCGCTGATGTTGTGTAACAAATTGCAACGGTAATTATAACCCTCAGAATAGAGTTAAAACATTTCGATTTCCAAGAATCATTGAAGAACAAAAAAGTTGGATTGCTATAGTTTAGCCCTAAATGTACCCATGCCACTTAGAAAAACATCAAAAAGTCTTAATAGTGTTCGCTGGAAAGAATAGGATGAGTTAGCAATACTTAATTCTCACGAAAAGATAGAAAGTATAAATGTTTTATATGAGAAATTAAAAGCTAATGAATTTAATTTTGCTATAACCAATTACTTATGCAATGATGTATTATATATTGTCTTCAGATTTTTTAAAGGAAAGTGCTATTCCTTGATTTCTTCTTCGAATAAATAAAGATTTCACTTTTGCAGCATTCCATTGTGGAGTTAAATGTAGCGTTATGACTTTGTCATCCAACAGAGTTTATATTTTGAACAAATGTTCTTATATCCAAGAAGCATTAAGATTTTTAAATTGTTGTGAAATAACACACAAAAAAGAAGTTTTACATCAACAAATTTTGTCAATGAATAAAATATGTATTGGGGAAAACAAGTATTCAATTGAAATAATTGTGCAAGCATTTGATTATTTTTGCCTTTCACAATCAGCCTACAATCGAAACAGAGAAGATTTTGAACTTTCAAGTTTACGTACTTTAGGAAGAATTACATCTAAATGTAAATCTGTTTAAAAAAAAATGAGTAGTCTCCTCGACTGTAGTGGCCCTCTCGGGCCTTCTCGAGCCTGAACAACCAGAAAGTTATTACTTGTTTGCAAGTGTTTTGTAATGAAACATAGGCACCATTAAAAAGTCATCCAGACCTGAATGAAAATGAAGGAACAATTTGATCTCTAAAGTCATTAAGTTTTAGAAAATTTTTTCACAGCCCATCATGCAGATGTTTAAAAGATTCTAATAGTTCTGCCATTTTTCTGCTGATGATGAAAATTTAAGCAAACTTTCTGCTATTGGTGATTTTGCATTAAAAATGAAAAAATCAAGTTACTAACTAAAGATACTGCTATTTGTTTATGTATTTTATATCTTTTAGACACAACTCATCAGTATGTGTTATTAGGCAACATTACAACAGATCCATTAGAAAAGCTCTTTGGAAAATTAGGACAAGACTCAGGAGGAACTTATTTTATTTCTGTTCAACAAGTTCTTGAAAAAGTAACTATATATCGTACAAAGTTGCAGTTAAAGTCTGAGAATAGTTCAGATGTGTTAATCAATCTTGGTTCAGATCACTCTTGTCCAAAATGTAAATTTTTACAAAGCGAGGACATTTGCAACATTATTGACAATTTGCCTGCTCTTAGCAATTCATTAGCTGTCGATATTAAAATGTCATTAGTATATATTGCTGGGTACATTATTCGTGAAGATAAAAATTCAGATGATACCTTTCATCACTATGTAACCTTCTTATGATGGTATCAGAATACTACTCATTAGGTATAGAAAGACATCACAGATTAACAATGACAAAGATTTTGTTAAATAATTATTGTAGACTCTATTCACCTTGTTCACTACTACTACTACTACTACTACTACTACTACTACTACTACTACTACTACTACTACTACTACTACTACTACTTACTACTACTACTACTACTACTACTACTACTACTACTACTACTACTACTACTACTACTACTACTACTACTACTACTACTACTACTACTACTACTACCTACTACTACTACTACTACTACTACTACTACTACTACTACTACTACTACTACTACTACTACTACTACTACTACTACTACTACTACTACTACTACTACTACTACTACTACTACTACTACTACTACTACTACTACTACTACTACTACTACTACTACTACTACTACTACTACTACTACTACTACTACTACTACTACTACTACTACTACTACTACTACTACTACTACTACTACTACTACTACTACTACTACTACTACTACTACTACTACTACTACTACTACTACTACTACTACTACTACTACTACTACTACTACTACTACTACTACTACTACTACTACTACTACTACTACTACTACTACTACTACTACTACTACTACTACTACTACTACTACTACTACTACTACTACTACTACTACTACTACTACTACTACTACTACTACTACTACTACTACTACTACTACTACTACTACTACTACTACTACTACTACTACTACTACTACTACTACTACTACTACTACTACTACTAACTACTACTACTACTACTACTACTACTACTACTACTACTACTACTACTACTACTACTACTACTACTACTACTACTACTACTACTACTACTACTACTACTACTACTACTACTACTACTACTACTACTACTACTACTACTACTACTACTACTACTACTACTACTACTACTACTACTACTACTACTACTACTACTACTACTACTACTACTACTACTACTACTACTACTACTACTACTACTACTACTACTACTACTACTACTACTACTACTACTACTACTACTACTACTACTACTACTACTACTACTACTACTACTACTACTACTACTACTACTACTACTACTACTACTACTACTACTACTACTACTACTACTACTACTACTACTACTACTACTACTACTACTACTACTACTACTACTACTACTACTACTACTACTACTACTACTACTACTACTACTACTACTACTACTACTACTACTACTACTACTACTACTACTACTACTACTACTACTACTACTACTACTACTACTACTACTACTACTACTACTACTACTACTACTACTACTACTACTACTACTACTACTACTACTACTACTACTACTACTACTACTACTACTACTACTACTACTACTACTACTACTACTACTACTACTACTACTACTACTACTACTACTACTACTACTACTACTACTACTACTACTACTACTACTACTACTACTACTACTACTACTACTACTACTACTACTACTACTACTACTACTACTACTACTACTACTACTACTACTACTACTACTACTACTACTACTACTACTACTACTACTACTACTACTACTACTACTACTACTACTACTACTACTACTACTACTACTACTAACAATTTGAAGCAAAAAATACTTACTGAGATGCAATTTTTTATTGAATCACTCAACTAAATTACGGAATGTATTGCCACAAAATGTTGTTTAATAATCAACAAAAAATTAATTTATAAAAAGTTATATAAACTCATAACTTATAAAGTCATATAAACTAAAAATAAACTAGTTGGATAAACTTAACATGAAAAAAGGTTTTAAACTAACAATAATGATTCATAAAATGCTATCAGAGTGTGGGTTAAATGTTTTTCACTCTCTAAATAGTTCAGCTATTTCTACAACAATTAAGTATAAATTTAAAAAGAAAAGAAAATAAACCTTTTTAATTCGTTTTTTGGCATGAAATTTCAACCCTTTAAGAGAGAAATCAAAACATGAAACAAATTCTGAAACAGCAGTAGAGCCTTGTGCTAACATTACAGCCATACATTTTAAAACAGCAATAACCAAATCTGTAGATGCATTGACACTTAGTGATGAATAAAGAAGTTTGATGTGATTTTGAAGTATTTTGTTTACAATAAATAAACCAGTAGATTTCAGATTTGAGTCTATTGCTTGATCAGATGTCCATAATAAAACACATTCAAAGGCTTCCCATATTAACGTTAACTATAAAAAAATTAAAATGCTTTGTATAATAATTCTATAATAAAACATAACATAAAAAATTAAGGTGAAAAATAGACAACTACTAATTATCATTTTATTTATACAGAAAATTTATTAAAGACTTTTACCTAAAGCCTAAGTTAGGCTTCAAGTAACACCTGATCACTATCAAAAGTAACACCTGATCACTATCCAAAGTAACACCTGATCACTATCTAAAGTAACACCTGATCACTATCCAAAGTAACACTTGATCACTATCCAAAGTAACACCTGATCACTATTTAAAGTAACACCTGATCACTATCTAATTTGATCATTATGATAATTTGATAAAAGATAAAAAAAAAGCATTTGTAACATTAACATGAGTCATGCTGAGGGACTTTTTAATAAAGATGCCACAAATACTTGGTGACTTTTTGGTATGGTATAGCCTACTCTACTACTCTTTTTACTATTCTTTGTTTGGCAAACTATTGCAAACTATTTGCCCAAATACTAGATTGTAACAAAAAAAAAAGCATAAAAAAGGATTAGATTTAGTTTTATGCGAACAATTTTATGCAAAAACCTTCAAAAATTGAATTTGCAATCAGACATTTCTTTTCTAAATCTTCATATGTGTGCATATTTTCAGCAGCAATTAGTTTGATTTTTTTATTTTCATTTTTTTTTTTCTTAGTAGAGATAAATCATCACCAGTGCTACAAGACACCGGTAATGTTTCATTTGGTATTCAAATAAAAATGTAATAATTATGTTAAAACAGTTTAAGGAATGTTAAATTATACCATCATATATAAGCAACCCTCAGAATTAGGGTCGGCATTTGGCAATGCCAACCTGAAAGTGTTTGAGGTCGGCAAAAAATTGCCGACCTCGTTTCTATGTTTTATGGTCAGACTTTTGATTCAAATAATTTTTGCCGACCTGATGCCAACCTCAAAAAGATAATGGTCGGCAAATTATTGCAGACCTCATTTTTCATAATTCCGAGGATTGTATAGGTAAGTCAGAAAGGAAACTCAAGATCTTTTTGGCTTCTCCTAGCAAAGGCTAGGAGAAGCCAACTCCAACTTAAAATACCTCCTGCCTTGGGGCTCTTTGACTAAACAACTCATTCTATTATCTCCTAATGAGGGTACAGCTCTAAACTCAGTTTTATGGTTCTGAGACTGGCTGGTTGTCAGGTTTCCCGAACTATACGGTAACTCTCAGAGTGGCTGGTTCCATCAACAGTTGTAAAATATCAGAGTACTAACAGTACAATGTTTCGCATGGATGGTACTTTTGGTGTGCATTATTAAGACCACATTTGGAGCCTTTTGTTACGGCTTACAGTTTATTAATAGTAATGAGGCAATTGCTTGAACTAACAATTAGTGTACTGAGTACTATTTATGCTTTGAGTCAGGTTCTTTAATAAATTTAAAAATGACTAAAGTACCAAAAACTATAAAACACAAAAAACCATTTTCACCACCAAGTTCTCTAAATCTATCATTCATTAATATTTGTGGTCTTCGAAGTAACTTTTCTTCTGTTGAGTCATATCTATTGCAAAGTTTGCAAGACATACTTGCTCTTTGTGAGACTTAATTGAGTTCAGCTGTCTCATCTTGTGATCTTAGTGTTTCTGGTAATCTTCCTTTAATTTGTAAAGTCTCCAATAGACACATGCTTGGCCTGGGCATTTATATGCATAAGAATTCACCCATTTAATCGGAAATTAGATTTGAATCCACTAACTATTCTTTTATGTGCTTTTGTTTAGCACCACTTCCCTCTATCACCTTCCTCTTTGTTCTATATCACTCTCCTTCATCTCAAGACTGCACTCTTCTTGATGTTATTTCTGACCATATTGACCAAGCCCTCTCTCTTTATACATATTTTAGCAATTATTGTTGTTGTCGGTGACTTAAATGTTCATCACACTGAATGGCTTGGCGCTAGGTGTCAGTGATTCTGCAAGTATTAAAACCCACAACTTTTGTCTTAATCTCTAACTCAAATAGTAAACTTTCTAACTTGATTTACAGACAATCCAAATCATCTATCTTCTCTACTCAACTTTTATCTTGTTTCTGATCCTAGCTAGTGCTCAGTTTCTCTACATTTACCCTTAGGTGCTTTTGATCATGGTTTGATCTCTCTAAAACTATTATCTCATTTTTCATCATCATCAGAGTCCCCTAATCATTGTACCTTTTGCAACTACTTTAATGCTGACTGAGACTCTTTCCGAGATTTTCTTCGTGATGGCTCTTGGGTGGAAATCTTTCATCCTCCTGCTGACAAATGTGCTTCTTACATAACTTCTACATAACACTGGCATGGTAGCTTTTATTTCCTCTAGACAAATTCAAGGCTCACTCTTCTCCATGGTTTTCCTCACATTGTGCTGCTGGAAATTTCAATAGTAGCCATTACTTCCTTATCTATCAGCAAAACACTTCCTCAGAAAACAGACGTTTGTTTACTAATGCTTGAAACTATTGTAAAAAGGTTTTGTCTAATGCCAAAGCCCGCTATTCTCAGGCCATGAAAAGCTTGTATTTCATTTAAAAATTAGGCTTTCCTGACTTCTGGAGAATCTTTAACAGTATCAATAAAAAAGGAAAACCTGTTATTCCAACTCTCTTGTAAGGTTCATCGCCTCGCTTAGAGACAAAGCTGAATTGTTTGCTAAGAACTTTTCATCAATATCATCACTTGTATCCACTAGTTGCATTCTACCTGATATAGCCAACAAACAGATTAATTCAATGCTTGACATTTGTATTACTCCAGCCTCTGTGACTAAAGTGATTTCCTGTGTAGACTCTTCTACAGCTTGTGGTATGGACAACATACCTGTTATAATCTTGCAGAAGTGTTCTTCAGAGCTGCCGTCTATACTTTCAAAACTATTTAATAAGTGCATATCAAAGTCTTGTTTTCTAGCCTGCTGGAAAGCGGTATCTGTTATCCCTATTTTCAAAAATTCTGGAGAACAACCTGATTCATCTAACTATTCCATTAGTCTTCTTCCTATCATAAGCAAGGTTTTTGAACCTTTAATTAAAAAACACTTAATCTCTTATCTTGAATCTAATAACTTACTTTCTGATCATCAATATAGATTTTGATCTTCTCGTTCTACAGCTGATTTGCTAACAGTAATAACCGATAGGCTTTATTGTGCATTAGATAGAGGTGGAAAGGTTAAGGCTTAGGTCTTGACATTTCTAAAGCTTTTGATAAAGTTTAACATGCTGGTCTTCTCCATAAACTTTCTTTTTACGGTATATCTGGTAAAATCGTTAATATTATTGAGTCCTTCCTTTCCAATTGTAGAATTTAAAAAGTTGTCCTCCATGGATCAGACTCTTCTTCATATCTTGTAACTTCAGGGGTTCCTCAAGGTTCTATCCATGGCCTTAGACTTATTAATTTACAATAACGTTCTTACAGATATTCTCACATCTAATGTGGCATTGTTTGCTGATGATACTACCATTTATTCTTGTCTTGATAAGCCAACACTCTTTGATTGCTTGAAGAGGGCATTTGAGCTCGAAAATGATTTCACGCCTGTTTCAGCATGGAGCTCTCGGTGGCTTGGGAACTTTAACTCAGATAAAAACCAATTTTTTTCAGCCAATCTTTATGACAATAATTTAGATCTTTCTTTATTTATGAACGGTAATGTACTCTATGAATAATCTACCCTTAATTCTTCTAGGTTTAACTCTTACTTCGAATCTTTCTTAGAAACCATATATCAAATCCATTGCAAAATTAGCATCTGCTAAGGTTGCATCGCTTTATCATGCTTGAGACTTTCTTATTCCTGATTCCATTCTTTATCTCTGTAAATCTCAAATTTGTCCTTTTTTAGAATACTGTTGCCATATCTGAAGTGAATCTTCCAATGATGCCATTTCTCTTTTAGACAAGGTGTAAAAATGCATTGTAAACATAGTTGGAACTGGTCTTGCAGGCAACTTTTAACCATTATCACATTGTCGTAATGTTGCTTCTCTTTCTCTTTTCTACAAATACTATAATGGGCATTGCTCTAAAGAGCTAGTGTCTCTTGTGCCCATCTACTGAAATTCATTCTTTTGTCAATTAGGTTTCATCCTTTTACTGTGACTGTTTCTAAATGCTCCAAAAACTCTTATTTATCTAGTTTTTTTCCTCGAACTTCTTTGGAATTTGCTTCCTTTATCTTGCTTTCCTGATTCATATAATTTGCAATCTTTTAAGTCATATAATCCAATAATCCAACTCTAATAGTGGTTGCTTGCAGTCTTGTTAAAAGCAAAGATGTTGAAACATATATATTAGAAAGAATAAAATTATTACAATAAATTATTAAAAAATGGTAATTACTTTTACTCTCTGCTAAAACCTCCGCATATGCCAATATGCAGAGTGCCAAGGACAATGAGGCCAATGAATATTGGATTTTCACTTGTGTAAACAGTTAAAAC